GCATGGAAAAACATGAGTAAAAGCTTGCTGGAGCAGAGCCACAAAACATGCTAAAATGGTGGTCCAAGGCATACAGCATGTTAGGCTAACTAAGAGGATTGCACTACAAGTATGAGATGCAAGTAAACAATGACCAAACCAGTCAAAAACAGAGTTATGGCAGGTTCAAAAGGTCACAAAAACAAGCTTGAGTAAAGCTACACAGGAGTATAAACACATGCTCATTTGGTGAGCCATCAACACATGCATGCAAGACAAGAGGAGAGGGAACCACCCCCTCCCATTTTGGGTCTCAAAACCCACTTTCCACCACTGAAATTCCTCTAGAATTCAGTGGTGAAAAGGCCAAATAAAGAAGAACTCAAAGGCCTTAAAGGATGGTACAAAGCAAAGCAAAATAAGGCACACAAGGGGGCGAAACACCCCCAACACCAAAGAGGCCTCAAACAAACCTCTTAAACACTTGAAAACAAAGCTTTTTGTAGTTGAAAGAAAGGCCTAAAACAATATGCAAGGATGACCAAATAAGCAATGAAAATAAAGCTTTAAAGAGGATATGAGACTCACCCTTGAAGCACAGCAATAACAACAAGTTTCTGAGGCAAAACCAAGTTGAAACCACTCAAATACAACCTCCAAGAACCTCAGCTCAAGAGTGAAGGTTTTTAACTAGGTGTTGTAGTGCAAAAGTGAAGAGAAAATACACTTTTAAGGCATAAACAAGCACAAATATAGAGAGAGAAGGAGAAATATAGAGAGAGAGGGATATGTTTAGCCCTAAAATTGTTGAACCTCTGTAAAGGGGGAGGAGCCTCCCCTTATATAGAGCAATGCAATGCAAAGCTTGTTAAACAAGCTTGAAATGGCCTCCATCCCTCCATGCACGTGTATGGAGAGGATAGCTCAGTGAAAACCAATTGGCTCAAAAGATCTAGCATGAAATTTGCTGAGACAAGGTGTTCTGCCGGCCATCAATGATGAAATCTGCTGAGACAAGGTGTTCTGCTGGCCATCAGTGGTGGCCGGCAGTGCCTCATTGATGGCCGGCAAGCCTTATCAATGGCAGGCAGGGATAAATTCATGGCGGGCAGTGCCAAAAACTGGTCGACAGTGCACCATGAGAAGCATGCTGAAAGGACCAACACATGGTCCAAAAATGGGGCAGAAAGGATACAAGGTTTAGAAAGCTCAAACCTGTGACATTCCGCCGCGAAATTCGAGTGCTTGATGGGCAATCGAACTTGTCATTGGATATACCTGCAAGCATATCCAAGTCTTGAGAACGGTCAAAAATGGGGTGTCTACAGCGTTTTACAAACCAAAATTTCAAACCAAATACTAAGTGCATCATTTAACTCAGATTTCACACCAACTATATTCAATCAGACATTTTTACAAGCACTTCTAATACATCTTTCAATCCATATTTCAAAACAAATACTTATTTGTTACCAAAATCAAGGTACAAAAAAATCCCGAAAAACCCCACAAGATGCATAATCATCATCGCCCTTCGCTTTGTCCTCCAAACCGCCATCTTCGCCACCGTCGATCTCGCAATCTTATGCCCTAAAACCCCCAAATTATGGCTAAGCTATGCCGCAATCGACAATCTCACCAGTTTAGCCTCACTCGAAATCTGATTCGCCATCGTGTACGCCGTAGAGAACCCGAATCTCGGCCCCTTTGAGTCCTATGACACCTATATTACTTTCTCTTATAGGGGAAAATGAATCATAGAGAGTCGGATCGGTGAGTAGAGAGCTAAGTCTTTGTCGATGAAGAATGTGAGTTTCAAGTGGAATGCACTTCTTCTTCTTCTTTTTCTTCTTCTGAGTTTGTTTCGAATTTGGGTTTTGTTATTGGTTCAGGTGAGGGAGCTCACAAACGTTTGAGAGGTCAGGAAGAGAAGAAAGGGAAAAAAAAAGTACGAAAATGACAATGTTTTGGAGCATGGCCGGAAGCACTATAGGAGCCATGACAGAGGATTTGGACTCATTTTAATTTAGTTTTTGATTATTTTAATAGGCTAAAATAATTGTGTTTGGGAAGAGTGTTGAATTTTTTTGTAGTTGAACGTGATATTTGTGAGAGAAAAAATAAAAATAATTATGAATTTGATATGACATTCTAAAAAAAAATTAGTGCTATTTTAACTCAAAAAGCCAAAAAAGACCTTTTTCCAAACACTCCATTATTATGTTTCATATCCTTTGTATTAGGAAAATCCATCCACTAAAAATAATTACACCAAAAAAAAAAAAAAAAAAAAAACACTACAATATTAATGTGGTAATTTTATTGTTTAAATAAAAAGCATTGCCATGGTATTTTGTTCTAACAGGTGAAGTTTATATTCAGCCATATTCAGTCTTTATCGTATAAATTTTGTATCATTTTTTTATTTGTAATATCATTACTCTTTGAATTATTAATAGTGTTAGTTACATAAAATTAAAAAATATATATTATGTGACGCTAATATTCGTCTTGAGTATAATATATCATTACTCCATGTCAGTGCTCCTTGTCCAATATATAGACAACCAAGTGTATTTGAAGGTTTTAAACTGATTTAGTTTGCTTGTTGATTTACATAATCTTCTACCTTATAATTTTATGATTTTTTTTTTCTCGTATAATTCATTTGAGAAGTGGTTGTTTTGGTAATTTTTTTTTTTAATTTCTTGTTTTTTGGCTAAAATATTTTTTGGCCTTTTACTTAAAAAAAAAAAAAAATACATATAGGAAATAAGAGTTTGGTTTTGCTAAAGTAGAAAATTTGAACTTTAGAAGTGAAGTTTGTGCATTATGATATCAATTTGCACTCTCTTAGTGATTTAAACCATTTATCTGATATGATAAGTTAAGAAAAATAGGTATGCAAAAAATTGGATTGATTAGGTATAATTAATCACAAAATCAAATCACATATATCTTATAACAAATGGATGATATATTTGTAAAAACATGTATTACTCTATAGATAAAAATAATCTGATAGAATGACAATCGATATTGGATCTTTTTAATTTTTACATTAATAATTTTCTTAGTTAATTGTATAAGACGAATGATTTAAATTACCAAAATGAGTTTAAATTAGTTTCATAATGGGTCAATTTCATCTTAAAGTTGAGGTTTTCAACTTTAGCAAATGTGAACTCATTCGGTTTTTGGATAAAATCTTTAGTTCCCAAATGAGGTCTATAAAATTAGCCAGTGAAATTAATTATCTGACGACTTTAAACTTTGATTCAGCGTGAAAAAAAATATATGGAAAGATTCAACTTTCATTGAGTTTTTTTTTTATTTTAATTTTAATTTTTGTATAGCAATATTCATTATCTATGAATTTATCCACAAGATTTAAAATCTTTTCACTCTCACTAAATATGATTCCTATACTTTTGCTTTTATTAACACATGAATTTAATAATTATATTTTGAAATAATTTTGTATTGTTATCATCTTAATATAAATTTCTTATATCATGGGTATGGTAAATCATGTTCGCTCGATGTTCGTACTAGTATTAAAATTAAAAAAAATAAAAAAGAGCGGCCACACGGACAATGAGGGCCGCTGGCCATGTGAACAATGAGGGTGGCTGGCTTTCGCATGGAAAAATTATTGATTGGTTTAGAGTTAGCACCTGATTATACCCTTTATCAATTATAATTTATTATTTTTTTTCTTATTTTGTAATTAGTTAATATAAATTTGTGAATTCTATCTCTTCTATCAATCACAATATTATTAAGACACCATACCGCAATACCCCAAGACCAACTAATAACTTCTCCTGCACACAATAATCTGACATAAAGAATTGCCCTCGTGTTTCTCGAGTTGAGCATCAAATTACATGAATATAATAACTTCTCATGTACATGATAATCTGACATGAAAAATTGCCCCGTGTTCCTCGAGTTGAGCATCAAATTACATGAATATAATAACTTCTCATGTACATGATAATCTGACATGAAAAATTGCCCCGTGTTCCTCGAGTTGAGCATCAAATTACATGAATATAATAACTTCTCATGTACATGATAATCTGACATGAAAAATTGCCCCGTGTTCCTCGAGTTGAGCATCAAATTACATGAATATAATAACTTCTCATGTACATGATAATCTGACATGAAAAATTGCCCCGTGTTCCTCGAGTTGAGCATCAAATTACATGAATATAATAACTTCTCATGTACATGATAATCTGACATGAAAAATTGCCCCGTGTTCCTCGAGTTGAGCATCAAATTACATGAATATAATAACTTCTCATGTACATGATAATCTGACATGAAAAATTGCCCCGTGTTCCTCGAGTTGAGCATCAAATTACATGAATATAATAACTTCTCATGTACATGATAATCTGACATGAAAAATTGCCCCGTGTTCCTCGAGTTGAGCATCAAATTACATGAATATAATAACTTCTCATGTACATGATAATCTGACATGAAAAATTGCCCCGTGTTCCTCGAGTTGAGCATCAAATTACATGAATATAATAACTTCTCATGTACATGATAATCTGACATGAAAAATTGCCCCGTGTTCCTCGAGTTGAGCATCAAATTACATGAATATAATAACTTCTCATGTACATGATAATCTGACATGAAAAATTGCCCCGTGTTCCTCGAGTTGAGCATCAAATTACATGAATATAATAACTTCTCATGTACATGATAATCTGACATGAAAAATTGCCCCGTGTTCCTCGAGTTGAGCATCAAATTACATGAATATAATAACTTCTCATGTACATGATAATCTGACATGAAAAATTGCCCCGTGTTCCTCGAGTTGAGCATCAAATTACATGAATATAATAAATTTTCCTGCACACGATAATCTGACATGAAGAGTTACCCTCGTGTTCCTCGAATTGAGCATCAAATTACATGAATATAATATATAGTGTATCATATATATTTATATATGAATATTTATCCTCATAGCGAATAGCAAGTATAGCAAGATGAGAGTGGTAGCAGCAATATTATACATTGTTCTCCCAATTTGCAGCCTTGGAATCCAAGATGACGTCCAGGCCAATTCCTCCATCTCCTTCAATGTGGCAGGTGCCACCTTGGCCACATACAGAGACTTCCTAGGGGAACTGCGAGTACTCGTGTCACGGGGAACTAGTACAGTAAAAGGTCTACCAGTGCTGAACCTCGATAGTGAAGTGTCGGATGGGAACCGGTTCGTTCTGGTCGATCTTATCAATGGCGACACAGTCACCTTGGCAATAGATGTGGTGAACCTTTACTTGGTGGCTTTTCGTGGTGCAAATAACAAATCCTTTTTTTTCAAAGACGCTACCACACTTCAACTCAAAAATTTATTCGTCGGCACCACTCAAACCAAGCTAAGCTACACCAGCAACTATAGCATCCTTGAGAAGCAGTCAAAGCCGAGGGACCAGCTCCCTCTGGGACCAACTCCCCTAGCTAACGCAATCACAAGTTTGTGGCACGGTGGGAGCGTAGCCGAACCGCTCCTTGTGGTCATTCAGATGGTCTCGGAAGCGGCAAGGTTCAGATACATTGAGGAACAAGTCCGCAAAAGCATAACCCAGAAAAACACTTTTACACCAAAAGGTTTGATAGTGACCATGGAGAACGAATGGGGGTCTATGTCCAAACAGGTTCTGCTTTCGCCAGATGGAGAACACTTCATTAACCCCGTTCAGCTTAAAGATGACAATTACAAGATCCTCACAATAAACGACTTTACTACACTCAGTCGCTACACCATGATAGCGATTCTTCTCGGCAGCAAGACTACTAGTAGTAGTTATAGCAATATTGCTCTAGCCGAGGACTTCGTCAACAACGAATTGCTCAAACTCTGAAACTGCGGTAACTGCCTAAACCCCACATGTCGCCCTTAAATAATTCTAGGTAACCTCCTTTCTTCCCAAACTGGTTTGAGAGCATAAAATAAACGGTTACCCTTCATCTTCCTCCACAGATAAGTCTACTTTGTATTTCGTTTTGGACTCCTTTGTGTATTTCCTGATCAATGTGGGGGTTAATGTGATATATTGGCATATGTGGGTTAATGTGATATATTGGCATATGTGGGTTAATGTGATATATTGGCATATGTGGGTTAATGTGATATATTGGCATATGTGGGTTAATGTGATATATTGGCATATGTGGGTTAATGTGATATATTGGCATATGTGGGTTAATGTGATATATTGGCATATGTGGGTTAATGTGATATATTGGCATATGTGGGTTAATGTGATATATTGGCATATGTGGGTTAATGTGATATATTGGCATATGTGGGTTAATGTGATATATTGGCATATGTGGGTTAATGTGATATATTGGCATATGTGGGTTAATGTGATATATTGGCATATGTGGGTTAATGTGATATATTGGCATATGTGGGTTAATGTGATATATTGGCATATGTGGGTTAATGTGATATATTGGCATATGTGGGTTAATGTGATATATTGGCATATGTGGGTTAATGTGATATATTGGCATATGTGGGTTAATGTGATATATTGGCATATGTGGGTTAATGTGATATATTGGCATATGTGGGTTAATGTGATATATTGGCATATGTGGGTTAATGTGATATATTGGCATATGTGGGTTAATGTGATATATTGGCATATGTGGGTTAATGTGATATATTGGCATATGTGGGTTAATGTGATATATTGGCATATGTGGGTTAATGTGATATATTGGCATATGTGGGTTAATGTGATATATTGGCATATGTGGGTTAATGTGATATATTGGCATATGTGGGTTAATGTGATATATTGGCATATGTGGGTTAATGTGATATATTGGCATATGTGGGTTAATGTGATATATTGGCATATGTGGGTTAATGTGATATATTGGCATATGTGGGTTAATGTGATATATTGGCATATGTGGGTTAATGTGATATATTGGCATATGTGGGTTAATGTGATATATTGGCATATGGCTTTCTTCTTCTTCTTCTTATGTTGCATCTATTTTAATATATGTTAGAGGCGGGACACATGCCAAAAAAAGTTATCAAAATAATATTGTGAGAAAGATATATGAAAAAAAATTAGAATTAAAGAGTAAGATTAATAATAACTTCAATCAAACTGAAAATATATACAAATATTTTAAAAAGTAGTACAATATTTACAAAATATATACACATATTTAAAAATGATATATGATGAATCTATAGAAAATTTAATTTTGGTGGCATGAGACTGAGAATATAATTGCAAATCTGTGGCCACATGGACAATGAGGCCCGCTGGCCACGTGAACAATGAGGGTGGGTGGCTTTTGCATGGAGAAATTATTGATTGGTTTAGAGTTAGCACCTGATTACACCCTTTATCAATTATAATTTATTATTTTTTTTTCTTATTTTGTAATTAACTAATATAAATTTGTAAATTATATATTTCCTGTCAATCACAATATTATTAAAACACCATGCGACAATAATCCAAGATCAATTAATAACTTATCCTACACACGATAATCTGATATGAAGAATTGCTCTCTTTTTTCTTGAGTTGAGCATCAAATTACACGAAATCTTATGGATTTTGGGTTGTTTTGGACTGCAATTTCCCTTAGCTGATTTTCTGATTTTCTGGTTTTTTGCTCTGTTGGTTTTGCTCGTTGGTTTCTCACCAACTTGGAGGTTTATTGCTTGTTTAAGCTCCAAGCTCCTCTTTTTTGATGTAATTCTTCTTATAATTCATCAATAAAGACTTCTTTTTGCCGATCAAAACAAAAAAAAATAAAATTACATGAATATAATAACTTCTCATGTACATGATAATCTGACATGAAAAGTTGCCCCGTGTTTCCCGAGTTGAGCATCAAATTACATGAATATAATATATATAGTGTATCATCCATAGATATATATATATATATATATGAATATTTATCCTCATAGCAAATAGCAAGTATAGCAAGATGAGAGTGGTAGCAGCGATATTATTCATTGTTCTCGCAATTTGCAGCCTTGGAATCCAAGGCGACGTCCAGGCCTATCCCTCCATCTCCTTCAATGTGGAAGGTGCCACCTTCGAAAAATACAGAGACTTCATAGAGGAACTGCGAGAAATCGTGTCACGGGGAACCCGTACAGTAAATGGTCTACCAGTGCTGAACCTCGCAAGTGAAGTTTTGGATGGGAACCGGTTCGTTCTGGCCAGTCTCATCAATGGCATTGGCTACACAGTCACCTTGGCAATAGATGTGGTGAACCTTTATTTGGTGGCTTTTAGTGGTGCAAATAACAAATCCTACTTTTTCGACGACGTTACGGCACTTCAACTCGACAATTTATTCGTTAGCACCAGTCAAACCCGGTTAGCCTTCAACGGCAGCTATATCAGCCTTGAGAACCAGCCAGGAGCTAGGAAGAGGGACCAACTCCCTCTGGGACCAACTCCCCTATCTGACGCCATCACAAGGTTGTGGTTCGGTGGGAGTGTAGGCGAACCGCTTATTGTGGTCATTCAGATGGTCTCGGAAGCGGCAAGGTTCAAATACATTGAGGAACAAGTCCGCAAAAGCATAACCGCTGGAAACACTTTCACACCAAAAGGTTTGATAGTGACCATGGAGAACGAATGGTCGTCTATGTCGAAGCAGGTTCTGCTTTCGCCAGATGGAGAAC